TGGTCCAGGACATAGTCTAGTGTAAATTAGGATACATGAATATCAAAAAAATAATAATAATAAAATGTGTTTTGAACGTAAAATTCTAATTAACTTATAATTAAAATTAGTAACACTTAAATGTATAAATGAATAGGAATGTGAAAGTTAATTAATTGAAAATTAATGACAGAGAATTCATATATTAATGAAAGCACTGAAATGAATATATCAAATATACATATACATTGATGGTAATTAAATACATGTTGAAAAACGAAAAGTAGGGTATTACTAAAATAATTGAATTATAGTAGTTTAAAATCGTCCAAAAATGATTCTAACGTTGAATATGTGTTGCATGTTATTATGAAATGATTTATAAATACTGTAAAAATGATATTTGAATCAATAATGCTACATGTATATCTTTTTAACATCATTTTTGATATTGTGCCACGTGATAACACATGATTGGACAATTAAAAAAAAAAGGCTTTCTCGCCCAAAACTTTTTAAAATTCAATAGAGTACACACAAATATGTAAACAAAATGATGTACATTTAGTATTATTCTATTTTAAATATGCGTGAATGTTAATTAATTTAGAATTAATATGAGGGAATATAAACGTGACAATTAATATTAAATCACTTATCTAATTTTCAATTAAGTAAATTGAATGTTAATTAGCATACATCGATGTGAATAATAAAATATATTTTGAATGTGAAATTCTAATTAACTTATAATTAGAATTAATAACATTGAAATATATAAATGAAGATGAATATTAATTAAATGAATGTGAATGTTAATTAATTGAGAATTTATGATAAAATTCGTACATTAATAAAAGCACACAGATGAAATGAATATGTCAAATATACATGTATATTTATGGCAACTAAATGATTAACTAAATTAAGTATGTTGACGTCGAAAATTTCATTAACAACATTCAAGCCAACTTAAAGGGAAATGAAAACCTTTGTTGATAACCACACGTGAATTACAAGTATAGTTACAAATGTGTTACTCTTGTCTTTTTCAATGAGATATTTAAAGTACGATATGTAAGACCATTTTTTTAGTGGAAGCCCCTGTGTCGTTCTGTTTCTTCTCCTCCTCCCTTTTATAGGGATAAATCTGCATATGTATTGCTCTCCCTATCTTGTCAACTATAGTGCCGAACTGGGGAGGTACATCACTGGCATGCTTGGATTGGTTAATGAACTCGATTTGTCATGTCATCATGAGTTTAACATCACTGGTGGTCCCCAACAATTAAGGAATTACTTAGGGGAAGAAGCTAAAGCATATGATTGGTAAATTTAGTGGACACTGATGTAAGATCACACACACTAATTGACTATTTGTATAATGTGCCAGAAACTAATAATCATTATGTCCCTTGAAGCCTCAATAAATATCTCAATTCGAGCTGACCTCACATATCCCGAACTGACATTAGCACTAGCTCATTGAATATAGGAAACTGCAGTTATTGACCTCGGAGTTCGGATACCAACAAAGTATATATTGAAACGAAAAGAAGTGTATTATTGAAATAATTGAATTATAGTATTGTTAAAATCGTCCAAAAAATAATTACCACTTGAAATGATATTTAATATATTATATATTATGAAACCATCTTGAACTGAAAAATATGCAAGCATTCTTGGTAAATTGGCAAGAAAAGGTTCTCATCCAAATACTAAGGGCTTGTGTGAAAGTGATTTTTTAAAAATATGTTTTTAAAAATTAGAAAAATATGAAAATTAATTTTTTAAGAATATATGATTGAAAATGAGTGACGAAAAAGTGATTTTCAAATAATCACTTTTAAATGAGGGCTAAAATTCAATCAAATTAAACATGATTAAAGAAGTAAAACACATTGATGGGAGTCGGAGATGACTAGAAATATTGATGAAACTCGAACCTACGTTACTAACTCGGTAAGATTTCGCTCTTACTACTTATATTGATTTTAATGATAAAAAAGTTTTAATATGGTTAAATTCAAAATTTCTTTCAAACCAAAAATTAAAAATGAATATTTTTAGTTTTGTCCATCAATAAAAGGATAATTAAGATTGGACCAAAATGTATTGTCTTTTAATTACATATGACATATGCAAGTTGCAATCTACTAATGCCTCACTCAAATAACTTGGCATCAAATGTGTATATAGTCATAGTTACTCGACTAGCCATTCCAATACATCTCTACAAGTTTCTTGAGAAGGAGTTACTCATAGTTAATAAACTCAATACAATGATCCATGGACACGAGACCAAAAAAAAAGGGAAAAAGAAATCCTTTCAATAAAATAGAAGACTCTTTAATCTTTTGATGCCCCAAGTTTAAAGCACAAAATTGCAATTACAAAAGAAAACAACATTTGATCTCATACAAATGTGCTGATGTAAATGCTGAGCTCAAAAATTGCCTGCTATACCCAAACATGACTTAGAACATACGGCTGTACATCCCCTTGTAATGTGTGGCCCTGTACGTATACCTTTTGTCTATATTCTGTGTTAAATGTACTCATTTTAATTCCAACCCTGCTACATGCAGGTTTTTTTACAAGAGAGACACATGTCGTTATTTCATTGGACGGTTAGAAAAAAAGACACATACATGTGTTGCCACCTGTCGAAGCCCTAGTCAGTTAACCCTGTACAAGAAGCATTATCGTTTTAATTCAGAAGGTGCATGTTATGCCAAAACTTCTGAAGAATATGCTTTTTAACTTCTCCATTGCATTAGTTGACATCTCCACATCTTCACACCTCAGTATTTTAGAGGCTTTAGGATGAACATCTGAGCCTCCTTCCTCCAACCAATTAGTAATTTAAATTTTGTTATAAGTGTAAATCGTAAGAGAAAGACACAGAACGACAACTTTGTGTACAAAAGTTTAAGGTTTTAAGGAGCATAGCATGTATGATAACTCCAACATATAAGGAATTTATGTGGTAGGTCGACGATTCGAATCACGTTCCACCAAAATATTAAAAAGTCTAAGATTGGGAGTCACTTGGTGATTTGTTAAAATCATAAAATCCAAAAAAAATAGTATTTCGAGAGTTACATGATGATTTATTGAATTCATAAAAATCATATCGTGGTGGAAGTTATAATCTTTTTTGGGCTAAATAAATACAGCTTTTGCTCCTTGAAAAAACATAACAAATTTCGCTTTCATATTCTGCTCCTTTGGAAAAACTGTCAATGTAAACATTAGAATTCCATTTCTCTCTCTTTCTTATGTAGTGTCAATAATCAGAATCAAAATGTTCCCACTCCCGCCATGAGATCCTATATCCACCTCATTGATTGCATCTTTGGGTTAGCCTACAGAATTTACTTATAATTATTTTGTTGCTCAAAGTAAAGAAATGTAAACTGCGACATCCTTTTTACTGTCAAAACAACTAACTTTGGAAATCTTTTTTTCTCGTAAGTTCAGTTTGTATCGTTTTAAAACAATTTTTTTAAATTCTCATACTTATTTTCAACCACACATTCACATAATAAAATATTTTGCATGTAAACCTATAACTTTTTCTACTTTTTAATCACATTCTCCAAAAAATCACTATTCAAAACGTCATTTTATCAAAATAATGACCATCAAACAGGAACTTAGTACGTCAACATAGTATTTGTTGCAAATATAGAGCTCTTATGTATTATATACGATATTTAGATAAGACTAAGAAAGAGAGATTTGAAAATGGTTGTATATTATTTATTTTATTCAATATTTTTCAGTTCAACGTGTCTCAAGTATAGTCCATGAATAAATAGCTAATACCGTTATTCTGCAATCAAGCTCCAAGAATATAACTTAGTTTGTACTTTGCATGGTTTACATCTTCCAGGGTTCAGGAATTTACTGTACTTAAATTCATGTCCCTCTTAAGTTCTAGACAAATATGTCGTGTAGCACACTGAATTGAAAAATGTGAAGTAAATTGATCAGAAAATAGGACTTTGTTTGTACAATTTCTGTGAGGTAAATAGAGTTCATGCGGCGCCGAGGTAAACAATGAAACTGCATAATCTCACAGAAACTTAATGTAGTGCATGCTAGTTGTCTGAATAAGACTTCATTAAAAATCATCCCTTTGATCACTTGATACTGGCATTGGGAATGGTTGAAGCGCACGGTCCAGATGAAGTCATGAACGGGATACCTTTGAACGTCGCGACTCCAGTGCCATCAGTGGAAAGATGCTGCAACATCAGGAACATTGTATTAAGACACGAAGTGCATGATTAATATGAAATCCTCCCTGTCGAACATGTCATAGGAGTACTCTAATTACATTTACAACAAACAATTTTATAGCAAAGTAGCCAGGAAGATGGTAGTTCATTGACACAATTGCAATACAACCAATCATAATGTAAGGACAAGGCAAGAAGAATCTTCCTACGACAGACTTCTAAATCTTTGAAAGTCTATAGCTACGCCATTGAGGCTAGAACAGTAATTAGCCAGTGCACATGACGATTACCATTCAAAACATACTAAATCTATGAGCAAAGAAATAAGGCATTTCTTATGACCAAAACTATCAAACTTTGAACAGCTTGTGTCAATAGTTAATAAGCCATCGAGGGCTAGAATAGTAATTAGCCGATGAACCCGAAATTTGCCATTCAGAACCTAATAATGATCTAAGGATAAGGCAACTTCTTATGACAGAACTTTTCAATCTTTGAAATTCTACGGCTAAACTATCGATGTCTATAGTAGTAATTAGCCAACAGAAATGACATTTACCATTCAGAACACATTAATGATCCAGGGACAAGGCTATTCTTATGAGATAACTCCTCAATCTTTGAAAGTACAGCTAACTTGTTGAGACATTTACCATTCAGAACATACTAAGGACCATGAACACGAGTGATGTGACAACGGGGAACAACATATCTATGGGACTTGGATCATTGAATTACAACGTATTAACTGATTTACAAACTATTATCGTGAAGGACGTAATGTAAAGAATCAAAAGTCAATACCGGAGTTATCTTATCCAATTGTTTCTTTTTGGGATTAAGAACATCTTCTGGCTTTCCGTCGTGTCTGGAAAATCAAATCAAGTAGTGTGTACATCAGAAATGGAGTGCCTCAAAATAGGATTTTATCCAAATCAACAGTAAGCTAATAATTCAATGCCAAGCTCATGTTTGAGCCACATTATTTTTTTTCATTCTCATTCTTCTACTCATTTTGGTTACACATTCTACAATAAAATAATATTTTACATCACATCAATAACTTTTTATTTTTTTTCAACCATATATTCCTCATCACATCATTTCAAAAAAATGCATTCTCTTATTTTAATGCGCATCAAACAGGCTCCAAATAGTAAATGGTACTTCTACAAGACTGAAACATCCATGCAAGTTGAATACTCAGAACCCACAGATCATCTTTTCCTATTGCCCAATACCAATTTTAAGGTTGACAAATTCGTCTTTTGCATAACACTGCACTTCTCTTTTAGGAAAAGACAACACAAATTATCAAATGAAAAGAGTTGGCGTGACATATTGTGTTCTACAAAATTAATAGATTGCATAGGTCCCAGATTACTACTGACTAAAAAGATAGGCTGAACAAATAACCAACAAAAACAAGTCCATAAAGATATTGCAAGTTATTAAATTAACCTAAAGAAAGAAAGAAACTTGATGTCTTCTCCCTTTCATAAATTATTAACTAGTCCTCAATCTATGCATTGCACATAGTATTCATTTTCAGAAGTACATGCTTGAGAGAGAATATGTTAACATGTAACCTTAATTGAGTTTCTTTCAATAAGCTAAGGAAATGCAACAGCGCCAAGAAACCATATGCACATAAAACAAGGGAACACGTTTTGTACGTATGGTTAAAAAAGGCTTAAACAGCCAAAAAAAGTTAAAGTTACACATTCCAGGTAATGGCCTAAATAGATTTATTAGCAAGGAATTACCCAGAAAATTTAACACGTTCCCCAATTTCAGCCCCTTTTGGAGCGATTAGAGGCTCAACAACAGTGTGATCTTGATTAGAAGCACATAAAACCTGCAAATTAAGAGAAACAGAAAAAGTTGATAGAAACAAAGAAAACATCAAACAAAAATATATATGTCCAAAATCTATTGGCTCCAATATAGGAGACAACACATGCAGCGATCACACGTTCACATTCACACTCAAAAGTCTATTTCTAATAAATATTTATCTGATCTCATAAGCAATACTTGCAATCAATACTACATGTTTGTTACACTTTGTAACTAATGGTTATTGTGGGTGATCAATTCTCTTGGATTTAGATGTAAAACTAAAGGTTAGATCAAGATAGGACGGATAAGAATGGTGTTAGAAGGGAATCTCCTTTTTCCTTTAGCCATATATTCATAATGCCCTTTTCCCGGCTAGCAAAAGCAGTAGTTGACTCGTACTGAAGAAGAATAGGCCTATGGTGAAACTTGAGTTGCTTCACTTTGAGACAGAGAGCTCTCACTGGTTGAGTCACTACCAAGTAGGCTTATCAGATGGCAAGCAAACCACTTGCGTGCTACTAATGAAGAAAAAATAAAGCACATGGAGATTTTGTGTTGACTACAGGGATAAGAACCTGACTATTAAAGATTCTTTAATAATCAACCTTATACCTATTATTGAAGAATTGGTGGATGAGTTAAGTGGGGCAAACGTGTTCTGTTCTACATGATAAATTGGAGCTCTTGTTATCACCAGATTAGGATGTTTGACAATAATATTTAAAAGACAGTTTTCAAGACTCACTTGGGGCATTATGAATTAGTTGTGACGTCTTACATCTTTAATAATATAATATAATATAATATAATGAAACCTGTACTTTTCAGCCCTAAAAAAATGAGGTTTTCAATAAATGCTTTGAAGAATTGTAAATATCATTTTTATGATGTTTTTATATTAAATTAATTGTTGTGTGGAGAAGCACTAGAAAAACTTAAAGGCAGTGTTTACTAGAAACATATATAAATTAGGGGTCACTTCTGTCAACTTTTCTCCATAATACTTAAAGAGCAGCAATAGGTTTTACTTGCATAATTGTAAATCAAAAACCAGAGGAACAAAAGTAATTATGTAACAATATAAATCTCAATATCTCAAGTTGTTAAAATTTTGTGGAAGTAGTGCCCCAAAAGTAATTCAAGTTGACCAAAAAATGAACAGACTCTACCAGATTTGGACTAGTGAGTAACTAACAATAAATAAATAATTAAGGCACGTTCTCGCATAGATCATCGTAATTTGCATAGGAAGAATAACACAGGTTTCTTAGAGGCAAATTTTGCCTATTTATGCCAAATGGCATACACAATGCTAATTATCAGTTGTGCAAGAAAATAAAGGAATTAGATGTTGACAGTACAAAGATGGTGGGGGAAGCATACCAGTCCTTCTGACATCACATCGCGTAATTTTCCAGGTTTCACATTTGTTATAAGTACCACACTGCGATTCTGTAAGATACATGTAGCAAATAAAGAAAAAAAAAGATCATATTAATCAGGAGCCATCCAAGAGTTCAAAAATATAAAAATGGGAACCAGGACCAGTCTTGTATATATATAGTTACATGGCATTCATACCGTTAGCTGGTCTGGAGTACAATATTTTGCTAGGCCACTGACCACTTGTCTACATTTTGCTTCTCCAATATCTATTTCCTCAACCAACAAACTGCATCACATTATGAGAAATGCAGAGATCAATTGAAATCTTGGGCCAGTATGTGTAGTGATTCTTGCAACATAAACAACCATTTGTAATTGAATTATATATTTTTGATATTTTGTGGGTTGAAACAAGAAGCAGCAAAGATAACCCAGTGAAAATGAGAAGTGCAATAGACCTTTTAAAAGAACAGAATCTTATTAATAAGAGCACACTACATAAGAAGAGAACAAGGTTTATACAGACTATATACGAAAATAAAATGAACTTTGAATCGAGGATCACAAGCACACGTTTTGGAATGTTGGAACATAAATAAATAAAAACTCAATCTGACAGCCAATATATTGAAGTGATTCTAACCGTTTGAAACCATAACTCAAGGCATACAGTTGCTCAAGTCAAAATCAATCATGATCCCTGATTATGGCTATACACGGACTAGTAACAACAACATCCCTTCATCAGATGCCCCTCTCTCAAAGATTAATATTTAATGATGCCTTCAATGGTTTCTAAACAATTTTCTCAGCTTTTATTTATTTATTTGTAATTGTGCAAATAAGCAACTTAATAATATTATCTGTAGCGCAACTTTCCACATCAATTAGCACAATATATTATCTTCTCTGTATTAATATAATAGATTTCTTTTCTATTCAAACGAAAGAAGTATAATAGCATATTTACCTGTCAGCTGACGGATGTTTCCATGCTTTACGAATCAAACCAATCTGTATTTTGAGCAGACTGACACTAAGTTCTTCTTCTTTCTTGTCTACCTCCTTTTCAGGTAGTTTTTTCTTGTCTACAGCAGCTTGACTAACTTCTTCAGATTTTTTCTTCTGTTATTTGGTGGATCAAAACAGCACTGTCAATGCAGAATAATTTTTGGCCAAGATAACATTATTAAGTCAAAGATTTTGTGGGACTCATGAATCTCAACTACCGTTTATGATATATCACACATGTAATAATCCATCCACAAAGAAGTGGATAATCACGATATGTGATCATTGACAACTGTTAACTACAGTGTAAGTCATAATTTTTGTTCAGAAAATAAAGACAAAAAAATAACGAATAGAAACAGAATGCCTAAGCTGGATTACAACAAGACGCAAAATTCCATATTTTTAGGGGATTCTAATGTACAAATAAAGTGGTATCCTCTTCTTTCTCATAAAATACTAAATATATATGCAAAATAATTACTATTTCAAGATCTAGCTCTGACTCTTATTTCCACTGCCCTAACAGTTTAAAATAGAAAAAAATGAGGATATTCCAGAGAAATTCGACACTCCATAGATAAGAACTAGTGGTGAAGATCACACTTTGGATCCTTTTGGGTAAGGCAGAGAGAAGAGCTTATTGGTAATATCCTTGTGCATATCATGGCCTAAGTAGACAGACAAAAGGCGTTGAGTAGAAGAAAGGAGCTAAAAGTAACAAATGAAATTAAACTGTTTCTTTCCTAGTTCTTTTGGACATTATAATACTTATTGTGCTGCCCAACAAGAAATCAGCACATATAATGTCTAAAATAACATGCGTCTAGATTTTTTTTTTCTAACTACAAAATTATAGCAGTTATTTCTTCTGGTAAAACAACATAGTTTTCAAAACCGCCCCGGACATTATGATTATATATATAATCATAATATCTAATTTACTTTCCTTCCAATTTATTTATTAATAATATTTGCACCAGCTCATTTCGTTTTAATGTTTCTATAGGTACAACAGAGCATACTTAAATTTTTATTAGGCAACATATTGGTAAAGATGGTGTGGTGGCTCACTGGTTTGAGCTGTTGCTTTCTACTTGCAAGCTTGCAGGTTTAAATCTTTTGGAAGGCAGAATGGTTTTGAATTTCTCTTGGCAATTTTTAAATAAAATCAGGAGGGTTTAACTGGTTCAAGTCATTTGCAAACCGATCCATTGAGCAACCCAAACCAACTTGCGCGCTGGGTCACCGGTCCACCAGCTGCTCGAGTCCGGTTTTAAACTATGAGAAACACAAAATTAAGTATCCTAACAGCATATAGGTTAAGGAGTTACCAAATCAGCAGGCTTCTTTTCTTTTAAGTCCACCTTTTCTGAATTACTAGAATCTGTTGTCTCTGGGACAGTTTTCTTTGCATTGGAGTCTTCAACCTTCTTTACAGTTTTTACCGCCTGGAAAGAAATTATCGACAAACAATTATATTAAAGTTCAAGCTTGGGCTTGTTCTCAGGGCAGTTAATCAAGTTGCAGATGGGACTAAACAGAAACATGATCAGCAGAACTAACATTTGTAAAAAACCCATACAATTCTCTGCCTCCAATTCATTTTAACATGATATAGTAGCTAAAAACTTCGTCTATACTGCCTCTAGTAAATGCAGACTTGAAATCTACACAAATATAACATTTAGTCATGAATTCGACTTTGCTACATCATAACCTTTATCGCATGTTGTGTCCTTTCATATAAGCAGTAGCCGAAGAAGTTATTAATATTATTAGGGTGCGTTTGATAGGCTGGAAAATGCATGGAAAAGGAAAATATTTTCCAATTTCAGCCAATTGTGGGTGTTTGAATGACAAATAATTCCATGGAAAATGAGGAAATTATTTTCCCCTCACGCGCCCATTTCTAGGCATGAGGGGAAAAGATTTTCCCACCTTTTAGGTGGGAAAATCAATTCTGACTTTTGATTTTTTATTTTTTGGCAATGCAAACAAATTTCATAACCAATTGTAAAAAAAAATTTCACTTTCATGGACAATTTTGATGCNAATGCAAACAAATTTCATAACCAATTGTAAAAAAAAATTTCACTTTCATGGACAATTTTGATGCAAACGAAGATCAAACGAACACTAAACTTTGATTAAAAAAATGATTTTTTAGGAAACATTTTATTTTTTTTACTTTTTGACAATGGAAACAAATTTTATAACCAAGTGTGGAAAAAAAATTCACTTTAATGGACAATTTTGATGCAAATGAAGGCCAAACGAACAAAAAATTTAAAAATTTTCCGAATGGAAAATTATACCAATCAAACACACTTAATTAACAATTCCCTAGAAAACAATTTCTAGACAATTACTTTCCCTGGAATTCATTTTCTTTCCACCCACTTTCCACCCTTACAATCAAACGGACCCTTAGATATTAAAAATCATAAAACAAACAGCAAAGCAAACAAACTGCCAGCAAACTACAAGCATATCCAACCTGAGGAACAAATTGGGTCTTCTCAATCAAAACTGTTTCAAATTGTTTTGCAAATGCCTCCTTGTTCTGTACCAGAAAAGGACTTGTGAGTACCTATTATATCATATTGGTGTCTCAAAAGATAGATATATTTTAACCTTCATTTGCTACGAGTTGAAGCAGCACCAACTTTGACCAAACAAACTTTTTCTCACCTGTATGTAATCCATCCATCTCAACAAGTGTGGCAACTTTGCTCTGTCAGAACTTGAAAGACTAATCTGTCAATTGTGAAAAACTCGAGAATAGTTAAAAAACACTGAGAGAAAAATATATCTAAAACAACACTCTCTCACAGCTTGCCTATAATCCTCAATCTACTCAAACATCTGTCCTTGAGGGTGAAGATAGGCAGCAATGCATAGACAGATATTGGCCAGTAGAATGCTGAGTAAAGCTTATGGGCACCAACTGTTTCATTCCAAATAACTACTGTACAAGATAGTTGTACAATCAATAAGAAACACGTACCACATTCGAATGTATTGCTGAGAAGACAATAGCATCAGCTGCGGATGGTTTCAATCCATTGCCCAGAAGAACAGACTTTGTAACCAATTCTTCATTCAACTCACTAAGAGCCTTAAAGGGCGTCTCAGAGTTCGCAACAAACTTGTCAACAAATCCGGCCCATTTCATAAACTGCCGCCAAATTTTTCAGTTTTTTACATCAAAATCCGTAATTTGCCATCTTAACTCAACATAAGCACGTATACAGACAAAGTAAAACAAATCCATATAATTACCTCATTATCATTTTCAAGCGCAGCCGAATATTTTGATTCCTGCGTGAATCAATGGCAATTGAATGAACATATCACCAAATTTGAACGCAATTTCCAACACTCTAATTAGTTAGAAAAAACCAATTAAAAATAAAAAATAAAACTGAATCCCATTTTCAAAAATAATAATTTGTTACAGACAACCCAAATTAGAAAGATTTTAAAAACTTAAAATCCCATTTCCAAAAACTTTAATTAGTTAACCCAATATCAGCAAAAAAAAAAAGATAAATAAATAAATAAGTAGGAAGCTTACGGGATCCAAAGAGAGGCGTTTCCAGAGAGCAGAAATAATACTTTGCTGAACATTCACAGACGCCATAGCTTAATCTTTACTCTTCACTTTCTATTTTACAACAAAATTTCAACTTTTCACTTCAAACCACGAGAAAAGATTGTAGGGTTTTTTTTTTTTCATTTTCTATTTCTTGCCATGGGCTAGAAACAAATTGGGCCGGGCATCTATTGTTTATGGGGGGGTATTTTTCAAACTAGTCGGGTATATTAAATCCATTTGGGTTTTTGTGAAAAAGTCTATTTTACCCTTAATGATATATAATTTATTTATTGTAAAGTATATCCTTTCTTTTTAAATGGTTTTGACAATTG